TAACATTAGAAGTGTAATGCTTTATGCAAGGTGAATAATCGAGCGTAATTTCCTCAGTATGAAAATTCATGCCTGGTTAGTATAATATATCCACAGCTATGTTTTATAAATTTCTTAAAAGAGAAATATGGACTTATTTTTTTCCCTAATTATACTTACCTAGGTGGATGCAGCATCAGTCCAATACTGCATCTGTCCCCTGCCGGCTTTAAGTGTGAGAACTCCGTGATCACATGACCGCTGATCGTTGAGTTCTCACCGCTGTCTGCTTTGCCCCTCAGCGCTCACTGGAGCGCTGGGCTGTGGAGAGGAAGGGAGCTACTGGTTCAGGCTCTCATTGGGTCACTGAGAAGCTGAGCATGGTGCTGCTCCAGACTCTGGGGTGGATCCCGATTTTGAAGTCGACATCTTTCTCCAGCCTGGACCGCTAGAGTTAAGCTTCAGCCCAAGGTCGGCTGAAAACAGGTCACAGGAGTGCAGAATGAATTGCACTCTTGTTATCCACCGGAGAAGTACAGCCTAAAGAGTGTTGGCTATAGTTCTCTTTTAACTTTCTTGTATTTTGATTTTCTGATTTTATTTAATGGGCAGCACAGTGGCAAAATGGTTTAGCACTTCCACCTGGCAGTACTAGGGTCGTTGGTTTGAATCCCAACCATGATACCACCTGCCTGGAGTTTGCATGTTCACCCTGTGCCTGCCTGGGTTTTCTCCAGGTACTCCGGTTTCCTCTCACACTCCAAAGACATGCTGGTAGGTGAATTGAATCCTGTCTAAATTGGCCATAATATGGATATGTATGAATATGATTTAGGGACCTTAGATTGTATGCCCCTTGAGGGTTAAGGACTGATGTGAATATACAATATATATATATGTAAAGTGCTGTGTAAATTGACAGCCCTTTTATAAGTACCTGAAATAAATAAATCCGTTGAATTCTAATGGATTTGGGGACAAAAAGTCTTGCAGATCAGATCATCCATTATAACAAACTCCTCATAAAAGTTTTTAAAAACTGTGGCACATATGGAGGACATGAGTACTGTGTCACAGGCCAGCCAATCAGTATGTATAATGCTAGGTTCACACTAGTGCAGCTGTGACTTGATCCGATTTTCATTGCAATTTTGTGGTGCGACATTGGTGCGTTATGCATGCCTTTACAGTTTTGTTAGCTACAGTAGCTGTCAGATAACCATAGGACTGCACACTAATCTGTATACTTGTTCCAAGTAAGTGACTCAGAAAGTACTGTAGACAGTGACCAGGCAACTAGCATTTAAAAAAAATAGCTCAGCAATTGCATTCCTTGCATTTCTCTCGTGACATATTCCCTTTACTTCAGTCAGTGTGATTATATTTGATGTGGCGCTAAATTCAAAATATTAATAATTATATACCATATCACAAAATGTCTAATGACCAGGGTGCCAATATAGTCAATGCAAATATATGGTGAGCATAAATCAAGTGACTTGTGTGATCACATGTATTCCGTCACTAACAGAGTGACATGCAGTGCAAAATAGCAGTCTTAGTGAAAACGTAGGAGATGAAAATCCCTCTCCTTCAGAGTGTTTCCTCCAAGCTGTGATAGTGAAAAAAGTGAAGGCTGTGCACTCACCAGATGCACAGTGTAACTGTGCCTTTAGAGACAAATTTCTCTACTGGATCCGCTGATGACTCCTAAAGACTTGGATCTGGTCAGGCCAGGTATTCCTCACCCCGCTTAGTACTGCTAGGTGATCCTCGGTCTCTCCTTTAGCTGGCTTTATGGGTAGTGGATGGCTCACCGAGGGCCAAAAGAAAAGGAGGCCAATAGCGTGATACCGTTTTAGGGAATGAATTTATTAAATGCAGTGTGACATGAGGAAAAATAACACTGACCATGAGGTGGATATGAAGATGGCCGCTGGGACCCTCTGTGGTGCCGGCGGTGTGACATCACGACGCTGTAGCTCCTTCCTGTCTTTAGGAGTCATCAGCGGATCCAGTAGAGAAATTTGTCTCTAAAGGCGCAGTTACACTGTGCATCTGGTGAGTGCACAGCCTTCACTTTTTTCACTATCATGGCTTGGAGGAAGCACTCTGAAGGAGAGGGATTTTCATCTCCTACGTTTTCACTAAGACTGCTATTTTGCACTGCATATCACTCTGTTAGTGACGGAATACATGTGATCACACAAGTCACTTGATTTATGCTCACCATATATTTGTATTGACTATATTGGCACCCTGGTGATTAGACATTTTGTGATATGGTATATAATTATTAATATTTTGAATTTAACGCCGCATCTTTTATACTCTGAGTTTTGCAAGGTTGTTTGGTATCCTTTTTGATGCTGTGGCTGCTTCTTTGCTTTTGGCGCTCACAATTTTTATTAGAATCTGATTATATTATATTTGCTTGGACCAAATTGGGGAAATGTGCACAACAGTCATTCTCATTTAAACATGGTTTATAACAACAACCAAGGAGAAAATCTTCTAGGAATTTGATGACCAGAAATGTATGCAATTCCCATTTATTAGTGTAACCATCTATGCATACACCTGGAAATGATGACAATAATGAAAATAGCTGCAGTCATAACTACAGTATACAAGACTCTAGGGTTAAGGGCACCATCGTTTCACATCTCCTGATGACTCACTGCATATAAATAGACTAGAGGTTCAGGCTTGGTATATTATTACCTATAAAGGTGGATTTTGTTTCCCTGACCTATTAATATTTTATACCCTGAAGTCCCACTATATAAAAAACAATTTGACACCAAAGGGACACGTTGCCTCGAGAAAATACCCTTAGGTGGATAATTGCTCTTCAAGTTGTTATTTCTCAGGATTCAAAACAGTAGAATAATCAGCTATATACTGTATCATACTAGTGTCATGATATAAAAAAATATATGTATGTGCAAGATAATCAGAAGGATTATGCAGAGGGAATACTGTTGATGAAAATATATGATAAGCAAACACTTGACGCTTAAACATTCAGTTTGGTGCCCCAGTTTAAAGGTGAACCCCATTAGCAGCACATACTGACTCTGAGCTCTGATGAAGAAGGGACCCCCTTCGAAACACATCAGCCGTACTTTGAGAGTCTACTCTTGTGATGTGATTCGCACTGGTTCTACACTCCTAAAGTCCCTTTGAGGACCCATATGCTTGATTTACTTTGTTGTTTGTGAGTATTATTCTCAATTTAATAAAATCACAGTTTACTGAGGTAATGTGCAAGGTTGGTGCGCTTTCTTTTTGTTTCACTTTGCAGTACTGGTCGGGCTTCCCCAGCCTTGTTTAGAGCCGCACAACCTTCTATGCATTGGTGGTCGACTTTTCTCAAGTTCTGTTTCTATCCAACCACCCTTGCTCTGGATCGTAGAGTGCAGGAGAGGTTGTTTCTGAGGGACTTGGCTTTGTATGAATTATGATCTGAAGCTTGGACAGTGCCCAAGGTCCTACTTGCATGCACTTGACAGTGCAATGGGGCCCTTTCAGCCACCTGCCAAGCAACCATGAAGTCAAATGGGAGGAGCGGAGATGAAACCACCACAACTCTTGAAATGTTCAGGTATTTAAAGCCTACGTACGTTTAGACATTTTCTTTTAAAAATCCGCACAAGGGACAGTACTTACATTTAGTCAAAGTATCCCTTGTGCTGCTGGCAGGTCTGTTAATTAAAATCGGACATCCTGTGTTCCCCCCACCCCCCATTACCCTTTAGCCCTAATCTTCTGGTGCTGTAGGGGTTAATACCAGCACTGGTTCATCAAGAGTGCCAACTACGCGTGCCTTTTCTGCCCCCCCCTGTCATTCATAGAAGCTTCACTACAGCTTCCATCAATGAAACGTGATCTATGAATAGAGGACAATGACCTGTTTTTCATTCACCATCCTCCATCCATAGATGGTGTTTCATTGCCACACCGTAGCACAGCTTCTAAGAATGGAGGAGATTGGTGGAAAGGGCAGGCGTAGTTGGCACTCTTGAGCAGTGCCAGTCACAGGTCCAGCTTGAGAATTAACCCCTGCAGCACCAAAAGATTATTGCTATGGAGGTATGGGAGATGGTGAAGGACTTTGGATTTCAGCTAATGGACCAGCCAGCAGCACAAAGGACACTTGGCATTGAATGTAAGTAGTGTTCCTTGACTAAACATAGGTTTTAACAGAGCAATCGAGAAATGAATAGAAGGTAAGCTGTTTGAGTGCACCCCAGATGGTCTAAGAACTAGATTTGCATTGATGATATTGCAAAATATTATCATGCCAAGAACAGGGCATTGGACTGGCTATCCATTTAAAAGGGGTAATATTTAGTGACACTAAACTCTATTCATGTATTTATTTTTCACTTAAAGTATTACTAAACCCACAACAGTACAATCAGTCTGTATATGCAGTAAAGCATGCTTGTTATACTCACTGTGGAACCTAAGGGGTTAATCCTTTGCATAGTGTAAAAAGGCTGTTTGCTCTTGACTTCTCTGATCCTTCCCTTCTTCCAGTGTTCCCCTCTTATCTCCTGATAGGACATATTGTGAGGAGTCACTCTGCACATGCTCAGTTTGGTGTGTATTGTTAGAGAGGTTTTTTTTTTTCTTGGGAGAGTTCATGTGATCAGCACAGGGCCAATCAGCACTGTCCAGACAGAGGGTCAGGGGACCTGCAGCTTCATAGAGCAAAATTAATACTCCTCCTACAAACTTTAACATGTGTTCTGCTGGACACTGATAGAAGTCACAAGACTGCTGTAACTGCTGATGAGAAAAGGTATTTAGCAGTTTATAGTTACTATTATAATTGCACTTCCATGTTCTGTGTAATGTGGGAGACCAGATATAGTGAATGCAGGGTCCAGGGTTTAGTAACACTTTAACCGCCTCCCACCCACCATATAAGGAAATGATGGGCGCAAGGCGGTTCTCTCTCGTTCTGGGAGGACGTCATATGACGTCCTCCCACTCTAACCACGCATGCGCGGGTCCGGTGGTGATCGGACACAGCGGATCACCGATCAATGGAAAGAGCCAAAGACATCGGCTCTGTCATGTGATCAGCTGTGTCCAATCACAGCTGATAACATGTAAATAAAGTAATGACAGTTATCGGCATTTCTCTCCTCACGAGCTGTCACACTGACAGCTTGAGAGGCAAGGAGAGCCGGTAATTGGCATTCCTCAGAGGGAACATGTACACTGATGATCAGGACAGTGATGATCAGTGTGCCCTGATGATCAGTGTAGCCCCAGCAGTGCCTCCTGTCAGTGTCCATCAATGCTAGCTGTCAGTGCTCATCAATGCCACCTGCCAGTGCCCATCAGTGCCACATCAATGACACATATCAGTGACTACCAGTGCACAGCAATGCCTTTCAGTGCCAGTCAGTGCCACCTATCAATGCCAGTCAGTGTCACCTATCAGTGCTGTCTATCAGTGTGCATCAGTGCCACCTATCAGTGCCCATCAGTGCTGCCTATTAGTGCCGCATAACAGTGCCAGTCAGTGGGGCCTATCAGTGCCACCTATCAGTGCCATATATGAGTGCTGCCTTTCAGTGCCCATCAGTGATGACTGTCAATGCCTACCAGTGCCTCCTCATCAGTGCCACCTATCAGTGCCCATCAGTGCAGCCCAGGGGCTGACTGACAACTCATGGGGCCCCCGGGCAGTAGGGGATTATGGGGCCCCATGAGTTGCACACCCAAAGCACACCCAAAAAAGCCTATAAAAGGTACCGGGGGCATTTCATGGGGCCCCCTACTGACCCCAGGCCCTTGGGCAGTGCCCGAGTGCTCAAATGGTCAGTCCGCCCCTGATGCAGCCTATCAGTGCCCATCTCTGCAGCCTCATTAGCACACAGTGAAGGAGAAAAATCACTTATTTACAAAATGTTATAACAAAAACTAAGAAAACAATTTTTGTTCTAAATTTTCTGTTGTTTTTGGTTTGTTTAGCAAAAAATAAAAACCCAGAGTTGATTAAATACTATCAAAAAAAAGCTCTATCTGTCTCAAAAAAACTGATACAAATTTAATATGGCTACAGTGTTGCATAACTGCACAGTTGTCATTAAAAGTGTGACAGCGCTGAAAGCTGAAAATTGGCCTGGGCAGGAAGGGGGTATAAGTGCCCTGTAGGCAAGTGGTTAAAAAAAGTAGCTTCTTTTAGGGCTCATGTACACTGCAGCTCCTAAAGTGATGTTCAGGAGCTGTTCAGTGTTTTTTTCAGCAGCCCCTGAACTCTCCCTAATGTTTTCCTATGTGTCCATGTACACAATCGTTTACAGGCAGTTGAGTTTATAGTCGTTTTTTTGAACGCACCAAACGTGGTGGAGTAGATTTGCGTTTAGGAGTAGATTTTACCGGCGTTTCAAACGCCAAACACTTGTAAACTGCGTTTATAAGCATTTGCATTAGAAGCGTTTTTTAACTGTTCCATATCCAGATGCTGTCTAGAGTCTTTTTTCATCATCAGAAATGCATGCAAAGCATTTTCCATGTATTCAAATGGACCCAGTACACCAGCGCAGTCAGTTCCAGGTTTTGTGTGAAGGAAAAAATGGTAGAACGTGCTGCATTATGCTCAGGATGGGATCCATAGTGAATACAACCAAAAAAGACAGGTCATCTCAACACATACTGCTCTCTCTGCTTCTGCTCTCTCTATTTCTCTCAAAATGTCTTAAATAGTTAATTATTTACTATTTTTCAGTACATTCTGGGCATTTGGAAGGTCTCCTGAGGTGAGCTTTTAAAAATGCTTCTAAACGCAAATGCGTATAAACACGATATGCAAACGCAGCTAAACTGACGTTTTTTTAACCTACGTTTTCCATCAGTCAGTTTCCATCCTTCAGAAGAGTTTTCCAAATGCCCCCTGTACATGAGCCCTTAGTCTACTCCAGCTCTCCAAACAGAGAGTGGCTTTGTTTATTTTCCATGGTCCCACTATATGTAGGAACGTAGCCGTTCTCTCTTGCTCTTTTCCGAGATGGACTAGTGACTGTGGACTGTAGTACTGTATGTGTAGTGTGCATAGAGCAGTGCACATGACTGCAACTGAGGTGCACTGCTCATTCCAAACAAATGGAAGTCAGTTGGGAAAGGAGAGTTTCCGGAGCTCATGGAGGATATTATATGAAAGCAGAAAAACATAGCAAGAAACAATTTCATGACAGATAGATTACAGGGCCATTAAGTAGTGGGTGCGTATGTAATATTTTTCGAGAATAAGGATATTGTTTCATGTCAATTTAATCCCATTACTGGGATTTGGCAGTTGGTGCTATGGCCATTGTTTAGACCAGTTTAAGGCCTCGTTCACACCTTACATGTAGAAAAAAAACTGAGGGAAACTGAAGTGCAGATTTCACTTGCAGATACAGCAGTTTACATCATTTTTTTGAGCACTTCAGTGAGTTTTATACATGTTACAGATACCTGTGCAGAAAAAATCTGCATGTGATACTAGTGTTTTTGTGTGAACAGGGCACATAGAGAACAATTGATTTTGTTGTGCCCTTGCAGAACGCGTGCAGAAAAACTGACGACTCTGCATCATGGTGTGAACAAGCCTTTGTAGAAAAACTGATGGAAACTGAAGTGCAGATTTCACTGGCAGAGACATCAGTTTACATCAGTTTTTATGAGCACTTCAGTGAGTTTTATACATGTTACAGATTCCCGCGCAGAAAAATTCTGCACGCGATAATAATGTTGTGTGAACAGGGAACATAGAGAACAATTGATTTTGTTCTGCCCTTGCAGAACACATGCAGAAAAACTGACGACTCTGCACCATGGTGTGAACTGCCCTTTGTAGAAAAACTGATGGAAACTGAAGTGCAGATTTCACTTGCAGAGACATTCGTTTTTATGAGCACTTCAGTGAGTTTTATAAATGTTACAGATTCCTGCACAGAAAAATTCTGCACGCGATACTAATGTTGTTGTGTGAACAGGGAACATAGAGAACAATTTATTTTGTTGTGCCCTTACAGAACACATGCAGAAAAACTGACGACTCTACACCATGGTGTGAACGAGCCTTTGTAGAAAAACTGATGGAAACTGAAGTGCAGATTTCACTTGCAGAGACATCAATTTACATCGGTTTTTATGAGCACTTCAGTGAGTTTTATACATGTTACAGATTCCTGCACAGAAAAATTCTGCACGCGATACTAGTGTGTTGTTGTGTGAACAGGGAACATAGAGAACAATTGATTTTGTTCTGCCCTTGCAGAACACATGCAGAAAAACTGACGACTCTGCACCATGGTGTGAACGGCCCTTTGTAGAAAAACTGATGGAAACTGAAGTGCAGATTTCACTTGCAGAGACATCAGTTTTTATGAGCACTTAGGTGAGTTTTATACATGTTACAGATTCCTGCACAGAAAAATTCTGCACGCGACACTAATGTTGTTGTGTGAACAGGGAACATAGAGAACAATTGATTTTGTTGTAGCCGTACAGAACATGTGCAGAAAAACTGACAACTCTGCACCATGGTGTGAACGAGCCTTAAAAAGTCCTATGGCATTTGTTACAAATGGACTCCCAAGGGTGAAACCTGAGGAGAGTAATGCTGGACATACATTATACAATTTTTTTGAGACTCTTGTTAGATTTACCAAAAACTATATAATATGAGGTCAAACCTAAACAACATTTTCAATTGTATTCATGTAGCAAGCCCTTGCACTACATAGTTGAAGGTAAATCTAAAGGAAATTGGGCCGATATTTGTAAGAAAATTGTATAGTGTATGGCCAGCCTTACAAAGACCTTGATTTCTATTGTAAGAAGTACTAAGGACCAAAGTCTTGTTATACCATAGAGCAATCACATGCTCGCTCGCTCCTGATAATTCATGTTTTCTTTGCTTAAGGACTATAAACCTGAAGGGTTCTAGGTTATGACTGTGGGTGTGTCACTTATATTGTAACCAAAATAGCCTCCCTTACTTGTTATGTAAAGTTTATTGTTAGTTTCAAGGTCTTCTAATCTAGTGTACCTTATTTCACATGTTTATTTCACAAGTTCTTCTATAGAAAAGGGAATTTCAATAGAAAATTATAACACCAACTGTTGCTACCCCCCATAAAGTGCAATCTAATATGCTCAAAACTGCAGACAAAAGCCAAATAAACTTACTGAATATGTCATGTTATATCCACTTTAAATTATAATGCTTAAATAGTAATGTCACCACTAGTAAGTTTCAGAAACCAGATAATAGGGGGTAGCACAGTGGCTAAGTGGTTAGTACTTCCACCTAGCAGCACTAGGGTTGGCAGTTCAAATCCCAACCACAGCACCACCCCCCTGGAGCTTGCATGTTCTCCCTGTGCCTGCATGGGTTTCCTTCAGGTACTCCAGTTTTTTTCCTCCCTCCAAAGACATGCTGGTAGGCGAATTGAATCCTGTCTAAATTGGCCCTAGTATGAATGTGAGTTAGGGACCTTAGATTGTACACCCCTTGAGGGTTAGGGACTGATGTGAATGTACAATATATATATACTGTATATATATATATATAAAGCGCTGCATGGGTTTCCTCCGGGTACTCCAGTTTCCTCCAACACTCCAAAGACACGCTGGTAGGTTAATCAGCTTCTGTCTAAATTGGCCCTAGTATGTGTATGTATGGATATGAATTAGGGACCTTAGAAGTACCTGTAATAAATAAAAATCTCTATAAAATAATCAAAAGTGAAGACCAATACTTAAGAAATTACAACCTTACCTCCTTATGGAGAAAATATAACAATTTGTAATAAAATTATTATCATTTAAAGTATAGCTAAAGGCATAACTTTTTATTTTCAATTAGAGTAAATGAGGGGTTGTAACCCCTGTCAGTTATTTTTCCATTTGTGACCCATAGGGAGATTTCCCTTCACTTCCTGTCCCATATCCAAAACAGGAAGTGAGAGGAAATCTCTCCAAAGTGAGGAAATCCTAGGGTGTAGCCAGGGTCACCAGAACTAGTGTCCCCATTGGAAGATTTCTCCTCTATTCCTGTTCGTTTCTAGTCCTCTAGCCCTGTTTTCTTTTACTTTCACTGATAACGGTAAACAGGACAAATAGAGAGGGTGAATCTCCCAAATGGGGGCACAGACAATATAAAAAAAATCTGACAGGTGTTCTAATCCTTTTCCAACCTATCCAAAACTTAATAAAAATGTCTTTAGTTGCACTTTAAGTGAATTAGGTATTGCACTGATGATCTGGAGCAGCTCTGCAGTAAAGGCTTCTTACCTTCTTCTTCGCAAACTTCATAAACTGCCAAGTGTCTGGTGCTCCTTTGTGCAAGTTCAGGGGTTACCTCATCCTGTCCAGACTGAACAAGATGCTCGAAGATCTCAAGGCCAGAAAAAGATTGCAAGAAAATGTGGGCACTGGTGACGGTGCTTGTAGTCATCACATCACTGGAGGGGGGTGAGTATAGTTCCACATTATAGATGTTATGGTTTTCATAACATGCACTG